AAGGACCTAATTAAATTAAGAATTATGATTGAGAATAAAAATAAGAAATTATAATTATCTTAAATTTTCAAAACCATGATGAAATTGACAACTAAGTCGGCTTTAAGACTTTGAAAAATAACAAATTTAATGGTTCTATGCAAAGTTCTGCGAAGAATGGTTTTAACCACCAAAAAGGGGCTATGTTTTATTGAAAAAAAAAATACTTCAATTAAATATATCAATACGAACTGATTTTTCATTGGTATAATGTACTTTGGTGATCATTATTGGTGAAAGCAGGTGCACTTTGAAATATCAATAAGATTATAGATGTATTTGAGGAGCCTCGAATGTACTAGATGCACGCGCAGTACAATCAACGCTGTGTGATTGTGAAGCTGTTGCTAAGTAATATACAGGTAGCTATATATAAAGCAATAGGGATGATTAAAGACATGAAAGAAAAACATTTGCAATAAATATTACTGATGATATTGTTACATTATGTGTGTGTGTGTGAATGATACATTTAGGTTAAAAAATAATTCAATGACTTAAATGATCAGAAAACTTTGAAAAGTTTTATTTTAATGTTATGAAATTATTCACGTTAACTAATCGAGATAGCTGAAAGTAATCATTACAAAGTTTTATTTACCATAAATTTATATTTTTCATATATTCTATGAATCAAAGTCACAAACGTACTCCTTCAGAGGCATATTAAAATTAAATAACTCAGTGACATAAATAGTGAGATAGTGATATTTATAGCATAAGAGAATTTGAAAATTTTAGACAAACATATTTGATGCATCATCTACACTATTAAAATTCGAAGGTAAACAAACGTATACGAACGTACGGCGGACCATTTATATTCCGATATTCCAATTAGTTAAAAAGATATTAATTAAAATCATTAAAATGCATAATTAATGCCACTTTTCCCCGCCAGGACCAAGTTCAGAATCTCGGAACTTCTTTTATTTTTCAGATGTTTTTAAAATGCGATCTAATTTTTTTTATGAGGCTCAGATAAAAAATAATTACGGAATCGGAAAGATCATTTACTTCATCACGATACGGTATAATTTATTTTACAAAATAATCATATTTTCTATTTTTTACGATTTTTTAAAAATGAGTCAAAATTGAAACATTTTTATGTGCGTACGATTTCTAAATTGTTCCATTTGCATTTTCTTTCACGTTAATGAAAAGATATTTTACACTAAAAAAGTTCATGCTTTTCTCTTTTAGAATCAGTCATTTAAAAAAATAAAACGCGTCATATATTTTTTTTATGATGTTTCAAAAAATACTCAAAATTTTATTCAAATACTTAATAACTTTATTTATAAAAATATCATCCGTAATCTGTACAAAGATTGAAAAAATTGCTTAAAAAGTACCGATTTTTTTTAAAAAAATTGTGTTTTTTGTTTAATACCGTTTTTACGAGATTCCGCTGAAACAATATTTTCCGTAAATTTTTATTTTAAAATTACTGTTGTTTGTTATCGATGTGGGAAATTTGGAAACCTACTTAAAAATTAACTACTCTAAAAATGAAAACTTTAAAAAAAACATTCGCAAGATTTTTAGAGCTTTGCGCATGCGCTAGGACAAGCGAGGGAACTCAAACCCTCGCGTTAGTGACGTTGCAGTTCAGAACTAAGTCGGGTTGAAGGAGGGGTTTGTTTTTAGGGACGTAAGACCGTGGGAATTTCCCCGTATTGTGCTCGGTTTTAGCCTGAGTTATTTATAGAATCATTTCATTCATTACTGATAATTGTTTCAAAGTGCAAGCTTTTTACCCTTTTATTCAAATATATTTTTAATCTGACATTCAAAAACAACTCAATAAAGAAATAAATAGTCTTTTCAATAAACAACGGGGATAATTTTTGTATAACAGAGGAATAAAAACCTTAAAAATTCTCTTTTTACAAAACAATGAAACTTTGCATATAAATAAATTTATTTAAAAACTAATATAATAAAATTAAAACATATCCTTCTCTTTTGATTTCATTATTTCACAAATTTTTTGAAATATTTAAAAGTCATTATCAATAAACAAGATTTTTTTTATTTTACAGCCATATTTTTTTTAAGCAAACGGTATGTTACAACTAATTGTTCAATGAACATTTTTTAACATTTTTTTGTTTCAAAACCTAAGAAGGAAATTATTGTTATGTAACGATTGATTGAGAGAGAGAGAGTAATTGAAAATACCAAACCCCTTTTATTATTATATATAAAGCTCTAAGAAAATAATTAATGTTTAAACAATGAATATGTTAGTTTTGCATAATATACTTTTTTCGTCAGATACATGTTTAAATGACTTATTAAATACAGTGTGTGTGGAATGAAAAACAAAAATTATTATGAAATACTAAGATATTTTTTTCAGACAGTATCCTTTTGTTTTTGAATGTTTCTTTTAGAGAATGTAAACACACACACACACACATACATATACATATACACATATATATATATATATATATATATATATATATATATATATATATATATATATTTAGCTTTTATATAATTATATATATATATAGTCTTTTTTTACACTTCATATGTTTAATCAAACATTCAAACGATCAGAAAAAAAATAATTTCAATAGCTATCTGTAAGAATTTTTAATTCATCATTTATAAATAATAGGGGAGGGGGGAATGGCTGTACACTCAAAAAAAGTCACTGTAACGCCGGGCTATAGAGAGATAAAAGAAACGTGTCTAACAATGGGAAGATGTGGAAGAAATTTAAAAAAAAGGGAATTGTAATGACGTTAATATAGAAATCATAAATACACAACAGGAAATGCTGACAGCTAGAGGAGAAGGGAAATTTTCATGACAATATGTTATACATTCAAAAATGTTCATGCATCGTAGTGGGTAAATGAAGGGGAAAGAAACCTGTCTGACAGTGACAAGAAGTCAAAAAATTTCGAAAAGGGGAATTTTAATGACATCATGATAGAAATCACTAACATCGTACGTGTACACACCCACACAAAAGTGCTAGAGTCATGAAGGAAAGAGAAAATTAACGTCGAAATTAAGTTGTACACTCGGTAAAAGCCCGTGCAATGCCGGGCTAAGGAGAGGGGAAAGAAACAAAAAAGGTCAAAGTAATTTCGAAAAAGAATAATGGAAGTGCTGATTTTGAGAAGGAAAAGAAAATTTATAAAAATAGAGAAAGCCCGTGCAACGACGGGCCATGCAGCTGGTCTACAGTATTAAAATCCGTAGGTAAACAAACGTATGTGCGTCTATTTTCTCACAAACCGCTCGACGCAGAAACTCGCTAAAGGTACAAAAAGCTCGGGAATGATCCGAGGAATCCGTTTTGACCATTTATATTCCAATATTCCAATTAGTTAAAAAGATATTAATTAAAAACCTTAAAACGCATAATTAGTGCCACTTTTCCCCGCCAGGGGCCAAGTTCAGAATCACCGAACTTCTTTTATTTTTCAGATGTTTTTAAAACGCGATCTAATTTTTTTTGCGACTCAGACAAAAAATAATTACCGAATCGGAAACATTATTTACATTGCCACGATACAATATAATTTATTTTATAAAATAATTATATTTTCTATTTTTTACGATTTTTTAAAAATGAGTCAAAATTGAAACGTTTTTATGTGCGTACGATTTCTAAATTGTTCCATTTGCATTTTCTTTCACGTTAATGAAAAAATATTTTACACTAAAAAAGTTCATGCTTTTCTAATTTAGAATCAGTTATTTAAAAAAATTAAATGTCAAATACTTTTTTCTTACGATTTTTCAAAAATACTCAAAATTTTATTTAAATACTTAATAATTTCTTTATTTATAAAAATAATCTCATGAGCCTTTTTTCCCATGTGTAGAATGATATTATCCGTTATCTGTACAAAAATTGATAAAATGTCTTAAAAATTACGGTTTTATTTTTTTAAAAAAAATTGTGTTTCTCTTTTTTTTCTTTTTAGCGAGAAATATTTTAGCATTATTTTTGCTTAAAAATTACCGTTGTTTGCAATCGGTGTTTTAAGTTTGAAGGCATTAACTTAAAAATGAAGCATTGAAAAAAATAATTACTTAAGTAATAACCACGATTTTAATAAACGCATGCCCACAAACAACTAGATACATTTATCCTCCAAATAATAGCCCAGGGTTTGATGGCGAAATAATGTTTGGCGCCAGAAAACTCTTTAAAACTCAGCCCTTTACGTTTGATGAAAGTTTACACTAGAAAATAAGGTGCTCCTATAAATATTGAAAATCACCAGATTTGGCGAAATTGAATATCAAAAACTTTTTTTTATACGATTTTTCAAAAAGTACTGAAAATTTTATTTAATAAATTTATTTATAAAAATAATCTCCATGAAACTTTTTTCCGTGTGTAGAATGATATTATCCGTAATCTGTACAAAGATTGAAAAAAATTACTTAAAAATTACGGTTTTTTTTTTTAAAATTGGGTTTTTCGTTTTTTTTCCCTTTTTGCGAGAAATATTTAAAAATCATTTTTGTTACATTTTTTGTTTAAAAATTAGTGTTATTTGCAATAGATGTAGGAAGCATGAAGGCATTAACTTAAAAATGAACCCCGAAAAAAAATTAAAACTTCAACAAGTAAATCATTTTTACAGTAGAAATAATTTTTTCTTTTATTTTGAAGGTTTTATAAGGTTGAATAACACAAGTAGCTTGATAAATTATGGCTTCACTGTATGTGAATAAAAAGTTAAAATATTACTTTTATTTTGCAGCTTTTGATATTAAATCTTATTTTGTATTCTCAATGATTTATTTGACAATCGGTGAAATACAGTCGTAAACATTTATACTCAAAGTCGTCAAAGATTCATTCCTTTAAATTTTATTCTATTTTGTGACTAAATGTTAAACATTTCAGGTCAGAGAGAGATTTATCTTTAATTTAATTTTAAAAAAAATTGAGACAACGGGTAAGGGAAAAAACTTGCGGTTGGTAGGATTCGAACCTACGCGGGGATAATAGCCCCCTTGGGGTTGTAACCCAACGCCTTAACCACTCAGCCACAACCGCTTGGTAAAGTGTGGGGTTTTTTACGTTTGAGTACTAAATTGTGCATATTCTGATATACGACGATTCTTCTGAGACGGGTAAGTTTTACTTATTTTAATATGGAATTTTTAAAGTTTAGTTAATAACACATGAACTTATAAAGGTTAAATTAATTTTCCTTTTAAGTTAATACATTTTTTCTTAAAAATATAAAATAACAAGTCCGAAATAATAGCTTATTTTCTATTCCCTAAGAGACAGTATCTGAAAGATGCATAGTATAAATTACATATTATTACATCAAACTAAAACTAAAAACTACCTTTTTTTTCTGAATACCTCCAATTAATTTTTTTTCTTTTTTTAAAATGTTTTTTAAAGTTAAAGTACAATAAAAATTTAAAAATATAAACATTTCTTTCTATTTATCAAATTACAAAATAAAATCTAATGAACTCATTCACAAAATTTAGGTACACAAATTAAAGAGCTGTAAGTACAACATACATGTAGGATTTTATAACGCTACGCGCAAAAAGTTTTTGAATATCTTATTTAGAACGCGTGTAAAAATTATAGAAACCGAAAATACCAAAATTAAAAAGACAACTTTTAATTTTTTTACTATATAATAAGTTATATTTATGCTCCAATCAGTAGCGCACACAGGAATTTTCAAGGGGGAGGGATCTAGGGTCGAAAGTCCACCATTCTTGTATCATGTTCCTTTTGATTTTGTCGATTTTCGGGAACAAATAACAGTAAAAAACTAATTACTGAATAAATAATTAGCATTAAGTAATAAAATTATTCATTAATAACAAATAATTAAATTTTACGTACTATATACTTAGAATTATAATCAATCGAAAAAATCAACGTTTGGAGGGTGTCCGGCCCCCCACCTTTGTTGTACCACTGGCTAATTATACTTATTTGATAGGTGTCACCTATTTCTATAATTTTTCATGAGTGACTTTAATTTTCATTTTCAGATCTTTAAAAGCATTTTGTCTTGTTATTTGATTTTCTGAGTTATCATAAATACCACCTTTTCTATTCAAACAAACATCCAAGTGAAACGTATGCACAAAATCATAAAATACAATTTTTTTTATGAAAATTGCATGCGTACTATTACAAAATTAATGTAAAGAAATCCTAATAAATATATTAAAATTAATGTGAAATTGGAAATATCTTGAAAATTAATACATCTGAATCGGAAATCAGTAGATGGTTAAATATATGCATATGTACACAGAAGAACTATAACATGACCATTTACTCAGTAACGCTTTGCGGTACCTTTGGCCAGAAAAACAGCAGCAACTCGTCTTGGCATGGATGCCATAAATTCTTGGTAGATGACTTGAGACAGGTTGTACCAAATGTCTAAGCAGTGGTCATGCAAAATCGAGATATTCTGGAGTGATTGTATTTGATCTCTGAGTTGCTTTTCTATGAAAGTTGTAATGTACTCAATCAGATTACGATTCGGCCATTTAGGAGGCCTAGAAATTTATATTCGAATTCATCCTTATATTCTTAAAACCACCTCAACAAAATTCGAGTCTTGTGACATGAGGTATTGCTATACTCAAGGCCGGATCTATGTATGGGCTAAATGGGCTGCAGCCCAGGGCCCCTGGTTTCTAGGGCGCCCCGTTCTCCGTTAAAGATGACAAACTGAAAAAGATGTAATAAAATAACAAATTTCAAAATAGTAATGAAATAATAAACCCCAGTAAAAGAATGAAAATCAAAAATAAAATACCAGAAGTACCATATCAAATTTATTTTCAGTTTCAAGAGCAAGAGCAATTTACTCTTTTGTTCGTCCACCCTACCACCGAATACGCGGAAATTAATAATTAATAGACAGAGGCTCTATCAGAGAGCGGCGCCGGCGAGCATCAAGCATTTATACAAGCGGCACTATTTCTGTAGCCATTTATTTTTTTGTGCAATAATAATTCTAATTTACAATAATATACTGATTTGGTGCTGTGTCTTGTGCATACTACCTGCAATTAAAACATAGGTACCTGTTTATTCCAGTTTCAAGTAAAAATTAAGTGCCGATACACATTTCTAAATTATTTAAGTAGGAAGATATTGAAGTAATGATTAAGTACTTTCTGCATTTTCAATTTTCCAAAGATTGAAAACATCAGAATTTCCTATAAATATGTATGTTGTCTTAAAACTTGTGTTAACTTAATTACTTCTACAGGATTTAAAAAAATAACAATCAGTTTATGTGGGTTATGGAGATTCGCCGCGAATATTATGGATAAATGTAAAATAGTCTTGATTTTCGTAATAAATTGGCTTTTTTAAGTATAGGTAGCAACAGCAAATAATGGACGACACAACGGAAAAACAATATTTATTTAAAGAGGGGCAAATAATTCTAAAGTTTATTTTTATAAAATCCCCTTTAAACTGATGGGCTAATAAATAAAAATAATTAACGTTTTAGATTTTAGCGAGTATAGACAAGGATTTTTTATTTTTAAAATTAACTAGGTGCTTTTTTTTCAATTATCTTAGAAATATACTATATTGTTTTGTAAAAATTTGTTAGAATATTTTTAGCTTATTAAGCACACGATTGTGTTATCGTAATTTTATGACCTAAACTTTACTTTTAAAAAATTACAAGCGAACATTAACAAGGGAAAGGAACTTAGCCAAAGAAATCGGAGAAACACAACAAGCAAATATTAATGATGAAAATATTCAAGATCTGTATGACTAGCAGCCTTCTGAAAAATATATTGTTCAGCCAGAGGACATCAGTAATGCCCCGACCGAAAAGTGTTTAGAAAATGTTGGGTATGAGTTTAAGAATTATACTTTGACGGGGGTTCGTGGCCTAAATCTCTAAGTAATAATTTTATTGATTATATCCTTTCACATGAAATGAGTTATTTTCAAAATAAAGATCCAACCAATATATATTTTGTTTTGGTAAGAGAATACAAAGAACAAAAGAGATCATTTTCGAATAATCATTTAATTAAAATACTTAAAAATGGCCAAGTGCTGGAAAGATCTCGGTTAGGTTATTTAACTAGTATTGGTATCCACCTAAGTGCTAACAATGGCAGATCATGAACAACCCCCTTTGCAGTTTGCAGTTTCGAGTTTCTGGTTTAAATATCCTTCTTAAATTCAAATAACCTTTCTAATCACGTTCCAAATTAACTGAAGAATAGTTTGGAACGGGGGAAACAGAGGACCTGTTTCCATTAGAGGAAACTTTACCTCCTGTCATGATAACTTCGCTTAGCTTTCAACACTGGCGTTAATCAACACTAGGGTAGTTGATCCTGAATGGGCTTCATATCAAAATTCTTTGGAGGACCTTTTTCGAAACTCCTTAATGTGTTACGATTTTTTTCCTAACAGATTTTGGAGGGCCTTGGGGGCCCCATATCATAGATACGGTGGTAGCTACATCCCGGTAAGCCCAGTACTGCATTTAAGGTAGTTTTAATTTAGAAGTTACCTCGAGGGAAAAATTTAATAAGAGTGTTTAAGAGAAATCAATTATTTTAGATTGATAAAAAAAAGTTAAGTTAAATAATTAAAGGTGGAACATTAGTGCAACAATGATTCTCCTTACCTTCTCCAGCAGCAGCTAAATATCATTCTTACTTAATTACGTGCCCTTCACGTCATCTAGACGAGTTCATTGAAAAATGTGGAGATGATCTTATTTGGCTTGTCAATGTATATACACGAGTGTGTGTGCACGTGTATTTCAAATCTGATGTCATTTAAACAAATTAATCTGATTTGTAATCTCTCGGCAATTGAGTAACAGATATTGTGACGTTTGAGATAAATAACGGTAGCGTGATATTGATTAATTTAAACATTTAGTTTATTTACAGATTATGCATTGAAGTTATTAAACTTATTAAAAGTTTATTAGAGTTCCAAACAATATTTTGTAAGAGGAGGGATCCCCCTTTGGGAACCGCTCACTTTGAAGTTCAAAGCATCTCTCCCTCTCTCTCTGCTCAGGAATCAGGGGCATCCCCCCTCCCCCAGCACCCCATCATATCCTGCTGGTCGGTGGAAAAAAAGGTCCCTCGGGGTCAAGGGGAGGTCAAAGATGGACCACGCAAAAAAACCCCTACATGCTGTTGCAGGATGCACGTGTGATGATCATTTCCACAAAAACGCCGACTCACAGCTGGGAGACGAAAACGTTACAATATCCAATAATGCTCTAACACGCATTTAAAATCTAAATCAGCCATTTTACTGTTATAACATCTCAGTAGAATTTTTAACGAATTAATTGCTTTAAAACTATACCTCCATTTGAAAACATTTTAACTATTTACAATTCCTTTAAAAAATTTTGAAAATAATTTTTTTTGCGAAGGATTTTAGCAATGAAGAGGAGCGATGCCAGCATTCATTATTCATGACGCCTCTTCAAAAATCATCCCGACCTCCCTCATTTATCTTTTTAAAAGCTCATCCGATCCATTTAAGAGGGAAAACAAACTACGATTTTTATAAAATAAGAGGAGATACTTTTTTAAGAAAATTTTTGCTGAGAATAATTTAGTTTTTTTTCCCTACAAAAAAAATACTTGTAATTTAATTAATTTGTATACGGAGGCAATGTGCATGTTTGTGAATAATACAAAATTAAATAAAACTAAGTTGAAAAATAAACTGTGTCAGCCCTTTTGTGATTTGGTTTGATTTTAATTCACGTCGATATCGGAAGCAACACAAGGCTAGTGGCGGAGGACCTCGTAATTTTGAACCGCGGTCCAGTACTGTTGTGAAACAGGTATAAGAACATATAAACACGGGCCGGCTGAGTGGCGTGGTTGGTTTGTCGCAGGCCTTCTGCACCCAAGGTTGCAGGCTCGACCCCGACCCAAGTCGGTGGATTTTCATGATGCAGAAAATCGACAGCGGCCATGTCGTATGATTATACGTCATAGAGTGTCTGTCTTTTGGGTGCTCTCGGCAAAATTAAATCC